GGCTGTTGCACTAACGAGGTTGATCCTAACCCCGCTTCCTCGAGCAGCCGGAGCTTCCTCCATCCTGTTTCTGCATCCAAGGGCCATTGGCAATTGCACGGTTCAGGCTTTTCTGTTCCTTCCAGGACAGCTGCCTTTGCAATCCAACTGGCTTCATGTTTTCTCCCCGTTAGCATCGTAGCATCACTCCGATAGTGAGAATTTCAAAGTGCAGTTCCAGCTGGGGGAAGGAAAACGAAATCAGAGTCGTTCAGCACTGCTGAAAGTTATCTGTTAGCTCTTGCTGATACCAGCCCCAAGCACCAGGTGATTTTAACACAAACTCTCCAAGTCTAGGAGGTCTGCCAAAAAAAAACGTGATTGGAGAGGGTGTTTGAGCCAGAAGTGGTTATTTTCAGAGAGGCTTGAGGTGTGCCAGCTCAACATCAGCAGACAGAGAACGTGCCCCGCTGTCCACAAAGCAGTGAGCAGGACTATAAAGAGTGGGGGTGGCAGAAATGTTGGACCCAGGTTTCATAAAGAAGTTTTCCTTTCTATCTACTACCTTCGTCGGACAGAGAAAAAAAACCCCAAAGTGTCTATTTTAATCTGAGCCAGCAGTGACTACAGTTTGTTCTGTTGCTTACAGCTACTAATAGGAATAAATCCTATCAACCTGAATTATTTAAAAAAATTAAAAATTAAAAAAATCAATAGCCAATGGTGACCAGTGCAAAATAGATTAGGGTATTTTTCACTAACTTTGAGGTTTTATTTTATTTCTTTTTTTTTTTTTTTTTTCTTGTACCGCATATTACTTTTCACTATGGAATGTACTTTAGCTTCTTAAGATATAAGCTTCCAGCTCTTGTTTTAAACACAGCGAGAACAAATCTTTTCTGTGGAACAGTGATAAGAGAGGTACTTTGGCCCTGAAATTAAGCAACGCAAGGCTATTGCACTCCATCGTTCTCTTTTTGATTAATTTTTTTTTTCATTGGTGTATGACATGGAGTGTGTAGCCCTGCCGGAAAGGCTTCTGTCAGCCCTTCCAGGGTAAGCTTTATTCCCTTTTCTCAAACTTAAGGCATTTGAACTGTTTTTGAGGAGTTCTTCCTTTAGGAAAATAAGGACTTGAAGTGTCCTTCACCTCCCGAGACTCATCCAGGTGCCCATTCCTCGTCACTGTAGGACCGATCAACAGAGCCACTGCCCTCTTCGCACCCTGAGCCTTGGGAGGATGCTTTGATGTCTTTGAGTGCTTTTGTCCTGTGGTTGCTATTAAAATAGAAATTTTAGCTCTTTAGTCTTACAAGATGATCATGCTTTGCTTTTTTTTCTTTAACGTAAGGCTTAGGGAAAATTTTCAAGGGTGGGAAAACTCTCTATTTGGTGAATCAGTGCAGGTCATTCTTTATACACTCTTGTACTAGAAATAGTCTGTGTGTGCATATTTTCTCGTTTCTGAAGGTTTTATCCAAGTGTCACGATGAGGTGAAGGTAGAGGAATATATAAACACCGGTATTAGTAGGCTAGTTCTTGGAAATTTTAAATAGAGGGAATTAAAATGTTTATAAAGGAGAAAATCAGCTGGACCAGTGAATATTTATACTTTGCTTCTCATATTTGATGGCATTAAAATAGCTGGGAGGTAGGGCTGCAAGTGAACCCCGGTCCACTTTATCTTACTGAAAAAAACCTCTTTTTAAGAAAATCAATAATTAGTAGCCAGTTTTGATCACTCTTCTCAGGCAGCAAGTAAAACGTACTGAGTCCCTGTGGTATGAATTAGCAGAGGTGGACTGTACCGTGTGCTTCGGCACGTGCCGTACGTTACTAAGCCATCACAACTAGCAACAGGTAGAGGCATTTGGTGGGTGAAAAGCCACCATGGGATCTAGTTTCATTTGCTCCGTTTAATTATTGGAGCTATTATCAGTAGATTTATCTGCTCTCATCGTGGAGCTCTGCTGATTACACTGAGAATTAAGGGTTTAAAGACCTAACTCGGCTTCTGGAAGAGGATACCTTGTCATCTTTATTTCTATTTTCCATTTCTTGCATTCATTTTTATTTCTATTTTAACAATCAGTTACTTACTGGAAGATGCTTTTAATGTTTACTGAGCATGTTGAATTCTGATTACTTTCCTCCGTGCGTAACCCAAGTGAGTGCAAAGCGATTTAGTAACCTGAGCTCAGGGCTGGAATCCGTTCTCCAGCCAAGCTCTACCGCTGATGCCTTCAGCTCCGCAGGGACATCACGGGTTAACCTGTCTCCTTCGCTTTCAGATGGGGGTGACAAATCCAACTCATTAAGGAGGGTTATATTGTGATCGTTACGGGGGAGGGAGGGGGGAAGCTGAAAACGAAATTGCGCTGTGTGTACGTGCAAAGAATTGCTGATCTTTGCCTTGCAGGGAGTTTCCCAGGGCCCCTCGCCGGCAGGACACTAGCTGTGCCTACCTGGCTCTTAACTGCTCTCCGGCCATGAGTCTCCATCCTCTGCTCCCACCAAATATTTGGAACGGCTCAGAGTCCAGCTGCTTTAACCATTTATCTCCACCTTAAACAGTTTAAAAGCACCACTGCTGCTTGTTTTAAGTTGGGTTTTGGGGTGTTTTATTGTTTGTTTGGTTTTTTTTTTCCCCAGGCAGGATAAAGAATGCCTGCATTCATACACTAGAGTGCCTTTAAAATAACTAGCAGCTTTGGCTGTTTATCTCCCAGCTCTCGAGCAGCACACTTCCCCCCGTAGCGATGTTCACTCGTTATATCTCAGTACCTGTCTGTCACTGTCCTGCAGCAAAGCTTTTGACTGTTTTGTGGTTTGGTTTTTTTGTTTTGGTTTTTTTTTTTTTTCTTGTGGGTTTATTTTGCATAGAGTGTGACATTTTGGTTTTGTTGTGGTGTTTCTGACTCTTTGTGCCTTTCCTTTTGTGTTTGTTTCTCCCGCCTTTCCTCAGTTTGCAGCGGGGCCTCGACCTGCCCATCACCAGGTACAGTACCCTGCCCCTTCATTATCATCCTAAACTAATTGGCTGGGGGAGGCGGGTGGTTGGAGGTGGTTCACCCACTAACTCGGAACGAAGGTTCGCTTCGGAAACCAGCCCCGTTAGTAGATACTAGCACATGCATAACCCCGCTAACAAGCTGCCTGCGACACAGAGTAACACTTTTAATTCTCAGTTGGTGTCACTGCACTCATTAACCACCCCACTTAACGCCGTTTCCATAGGAAGGGAGAACCTGTAGAGATCGTTGCCAGGTATTCCTGAGATTTGCTTGCCTTTTCAAGTTGCTAGAAACTTTGCCGAGTATTTCCCAAACTAGTCCGTGGATTAAGTTGCCTGAACTGAAGATGTCAAGGAGAACCAGGCGTTCACATCCCTGAGAAAATCCTGCTGTCCAAACTCAGAGCAAGGCAAATGACTTTCCAATTCATACGTTTCTTGTGTGATATGCCTGGTTATCCGTTATCATGACATTGCTTAATGTTGTTTTTACTCACCCTATGAAAGCCAAACATTTAGGAATCTTTGTAGTATTCTTGTTGCATGACTTGGACTTTGTAAGGAACCACTTAATTAAGAAGAACGAAAATTAGGAATAGCTCTGGCTCATGGAACTCATGGGCAGCGCTCATTAGGGTGGCAGAAATACCCAGAGGACCTCTTCAGCGTCAGGACAGATGCACAGGTCCCTTCTGTCCTAGTCAAGGTGTCCAAAGTTGTCTTTTCTATCAACTCCTACATTCATCTTTGCCAAACCCTTTTCCTCTGGGGTCTGGTTTTGCTGCTTCTTGTAGCTTATGAGGGGACAGAGGTGGCACTGACGGGTGGAAAAGAGGAGGAGAGGCATGACAAGTGCAGGAAAGCTCTCCCAGATTCAGTTGCTTCCGTGTCACTCTTCCTTCTCTTGGCTTGGAAGGAACAGGTGGTTTCCACCAAGTTAATAGGGAAAAAAAAAAAAAATCCCATTAACTCCAGTGATGTCAGGACGAGGGTTTAAGTCATAGAAGGTTTGTTCCAGGAGAATTATTTTGTTCTCACTTCACTCCTGTTGGTCTGAGCAGTTTAATACTGTAGGGATGAGTACCTTTGGGAAAGTACTGTCTCAGGAGAGCAGGTAAGTGTGTAAAGTGGGCACAGACACCCAAAACAGCTGATAGTCTTTGTTCCTTCCACCTCAGAGAGCAGCATGGAGGCAGGCATCCTTCCAGAGCAGGACAAAAAAAAGGCTTAAAAAGTAGAATGAGGCATTTGCACTTGTTTGCTCGCAGGCAAATGTCATGTGAGAGAGAGAGAGAGAGAAATGATTTTTGTGCGTGGCAAGGGATTGCATTGACAGGCGGTGGTGGAGGAATGTTTGCAGGATGACTGGGCAACATCGGGAACAACGGAATTAGTATCTTGTTTAGAAACTTTTGTTCTTGACCTTAACTTCAGGTCTGTGTTTATATTACGCAATACCGAAAACGCATCGCTGTTCAGAAACTCGTCGGCTCTTTCATAGGTCGTTACAGGCAAATTACGTTAAGGCACATTATTTATACAGTGTGAGCCATTTAATATTCTCATAAAAATTACTGAACTCGCTGCGAGCAGATTTTGGACTACAAGTCTCGAGGCAGTGCAGCCTTGGAGGAAACAGTTTCAGCGCTTGGTGGCTTTACTGGTATGACTCTACCACCAATCTGTCATAACCTGATTTAAAACTTTCTTCTGGACCCAGTGATGACCCTGCCTGCAGGTTAAAGCTTGTAATTTCCAAGTGTTTTCCCGATTTTATCACTACATATTTAACTGTTGCAGTTAGATTTTTGACTCTGTTGTATTTGAAGTCTGCTTATAATTATCTGAGAGAAGCTGTCACCGTTAGAAAAACATTTCAGGCTTTGTTCCCAGTTATATTTGTCACGCGCTGGATTAGGACAGGCACAGAGAAACCTGGCCTATAGATGAGCTGTTTATTTCTTTTAATCCAAAACTCAGTCTCTGCCCGTGGTGCGGATTGGGGATGGAGAGAGGGATTTTTGCCACCAACCCGTGCAGGAGGGTCACGGCTGTTGAAGCAAATTCATCCCAAACCCCAGACTTAGAGGATTCTTGAGACCAACATAAATTATTATTCTCATGTGGGAAACCTTTAACATGCTGGAATAGTTAAATTGTGTAACATAAGCAACAGGCTTTGAGATTTTGTGACCTGAAAAGTACTAAATAAGTAAATCGACCGTAGCGGTGTTAATTCTTGTTGCAACAACATAACGCGCTCTTCTAAGAAAGCGGCAGCAAGATGAGGTTTGCAATGATTCCTGTGTCAATCCCAGCGTGATTTTATTAACATATGCCTCGTATTGATTCTGTGTCTTTTTCAGTCAAATAATGGATTGTTCTTTAATGTTATTTCCTGTAATTATTAGATCTTTAAAGTACTCAAATTAGCATGATTTAAGCACCTGAAGTTGACTGGCAACTTTATAAGCAATTTTTTTTTGGATGGGAATGCCTGCCCTGCTGGTGGATAGTCAGTTGATGCTATAGAAAGTGTAATCAAACTCTGTATAAGAGAAAATATTAGGATGAGATATAGGATGCTATACTAATAGTGGCTGAAGTCAAATGAAAATAGCTGCAGTGGTTCTGATTAAAAGTTAAGTGTGTATCTGTAATCCTTGATTCCAGTAACACGGTTACTTAAACCGCTGAAAAGTCTCATTTATAGGAGAAAGAAAATGGGCCCTACAACGTGTTTTGTGGCAATATTTTTAAATATACTGTCAACTTGTGTTTCTCTCGAAGTGCTGTAGCGGACTTAGCTACGACCCTGCCTGGCTTGCTGCTCTGCTTCCCACTTTGTGCACGGAGCATCCCTTTTTTTTCTTTCTAAGAGGCTCTTGAGTCACTTTGTTGCTTCTGATCCTCATGAAGCACAATTGAAAATAGCAGTTTTCTTCTAATCTGAAGTCCAAAATGTAGAATAACCCTTAATTTAGGAAGTGACTTCAGGAGCATATGGGTTATTTTAAAATGGATGCTCAGAAGAGGCCAGTGTAATTAAAACCAGAAATAATTACAAGTATAAACTGAAATGTCATAGTTCCCTTTCTGACTTATAATTGTATTTGAGATTAGTTTACTGTTTATGGCAGACTAATTTAGTTTGAGGTTGCTGTTGTAGTTTGTTCCAGTTTTAGCTTGGGGTTACTCGAGTTCTTTTGGGTATAGCTTATATAACAGAAAGCTGGGCTTGGCCGTGTACTGTTGTTAAAAAGCCTTGTCATTTGGAGAGGTCGGGAATTTACTCCCTGAGCTGACTCAAGACTACCCATTTTGTAGCTTTTTGGAGAATCTCGAGCTAGAAAGCAGTTGGAAACGGCTGCCGTAGTCATTTCTGGGTCTTCATGTGGAAAGAAGCTACCAGTTTTAAATCCCACGGTTGACACAAAAAGGGTTTTTTCTCCCTTCCCCACCCCCTCCCCCCCATTTTATTATTTTGTAAATAATAAAACTGGGAAAGTCTGAGGCAAACAAATCTTGTGTGGTGCCCCAAGGGCTGCTACTAGGTTGCTGGTGGCCACTGGGGAAGCAAGATGTGGACCTGCGGGCTTTCTGCTGCAGCTTCTGCTTCTGGCAGCAGATCTTTACGTTTCAAGGCTGCAGCTCCTCAACCGAGCCCTGGTGCCTGTGTTAAAGTTTGGAAGATCAAATACAACATGCCAACTTTGACCTGCAAGTAGACGTGGTTTCTGCTGCATTGCCTGTGCAGATACCTCCTCCCTCTTCCAGGTTATCCCACCAGCCTTCTTGGTGGGACTGAAAATTAATAACAGGGCTATCCAGGGTATGAGAAGCTTAATTGAAGCGGAGAGCTTGGGTGTGCAATTTGATTTGATGACAACTTGCTGAACTTTCCTTTTGCTTCCTTTCTCCGCAACCTCCTGCGGGGCTTTGTGGACCCATCGCAACTGCCAGCCTTGATCCGATCTGGAAAAAAATAGACGGGTGCCTATGCACGTTGTGTTCGATGGGCAAAGCTTAGCATAGATTTGTTTTCAGTGCTCTTACCACAAGTTTATTTTTCAGTGAAGCTTTTAGAGTACGGAGGGAGTGCTCCACAGACATTTCGCTGGAAGTGATGGCTTAGAAATACAGAGTAAATAGAAAATCAATTAAAATGCAGTGGTGGTTTATCAGGAGGAGGTTGGTGCTCTCTTATCATTGATTTTTCTAGATGACAGCCTCTTATCTGGCTGGCCTTCAACAGACTTTTGACACAGGGTCATGTGGGAAGAAAATCAAGCAGGAGAAGATGATGGTTAATAAAAGGATATCGGGTGTGTATATGTAAGAAGTAAATGGCAGGGTAGTGCTGAGAGGGGTAGGCGGGAGGTTAGTAGTGGATTTTCTTAATATTAGCGTTAATTACTCTGGCACAAATAGCAGGTATGTGTCTGCAGCAAACTTCATGAGTATAAAGCTACAAAATGCGGCTAGCACAAGGATGCTGCACGAGGAGGACTGGCGTGATGGAAGCAAGGCGTAATCCGGTGTTGCAAGGTGCAAGCCCTTGTACTTCAGTGCCAAGGAGCAGTTTTTATTCTATGAAGTGGGAGCTCGTCAGCTGAAGCCACCTGTGCAATGCAATCTTTAGATAAACCACAGAAGTTATTTCCAGTTGAGATAGGGAGTTAATACTGCTGTATTGGGAAGTACTGGGGAACCCCTGTCTGGAGCATGTGCGCAATTCTGCTTTTTTATTTTCCAGAAAGACTTCCTTGAGCAGGTAGATGAAGGGCTGCTGAGATCATGAGAGCTTATTAAACGAGCAGGCTAAAAGAGTTGAGCTTGAGGCAGCTGATAAAAGCAATGTCCGAGAGGGGTTTACTTGTGCTCTTCTGTCGGTACATCGGGGGAGCAACCCTAGGAAGGAAGAAATTAAAGACCATATTGCCCAGTAGTACTGACTCCAAGATGACCCAAGAAATCCCCCGTAACAGAGTTGGACAGATAAGGGATGGGACCGTGCCTTGAGGACCATGGCTCAGGTCCTCACTGGTTGCTGAACGACTGTGTAGCAAGTTTCAAGCTAATTTGACCATCATTAGACATAGCAGGACTTAATGTTAATTTTTGAAGGAAGTAGTCAAGGAAGGGTTGATGTAATGCAGGGTTTCTGTCAGAAGCCTTGCTGTGGCCCAGGGTACTTTCATTCTGGTCCTGAGTGGGTCCTGTATGTTCTCCACTCCAAATCCTGCACTTATTAGAAGAAATAGAGACAAAATACCTCAGATTTTAATCTCCTGATGTTCTCCCATGGGGCATCATTAGTGTTACTTGAAAATGTTGTCTGTGCAGGCATCTGTTTGACCTTGCAAGGTGAATTTTTTAGCACATCAAGTCAGAATAGTGAAACATTTCTAAGAATGACTTTGAATATTGCTAGCTTAGCTTTGGAGGGACAGGAACAAGGATGGAGCATAAACCAGTTTGCCAGCCAGATGATACTTGTTTAGAACAGTAAAACTCACATACAAATCAGATGCACAGTGCTGTCATGATACCTGATTTCCTTGAGAATTTTGGTGTTACTTACAGGAAGGGGAGTAGCTACAAGTAATTCAAACTTTGCCAGAGAGATCTCTGGTTGGCACTTGCAAAAGCTTCTGACGGTCTTGTTGCTTGGAATAATGGATCTGCTTTTCTTCTCGCTGTGTCCATCTTCCTTTTAGTAATGAAATCCTCCTTTTTTCTTCATCTCCAAATTCGAGCTACCTCTGCAATGGTGCGGGCAGTATAGAGTGTTTTTGAGAGGTGGGTTTGAGCAGAAGGTCCTCCTCCTGTAGAAGAGCTTAGCACTACCATGGTGGTGTTTAATGCTTGATGGAAGAGCAAGCCTGTGCAACACACCGCCTGTTTTGGTGCACAGAGCGTGCTTTCCTTCCGTCTGCTACAGCAGGAAAGAGAATCGGCTTGTGTTTCATGAAATGGAGTTTCTTAGGCACCAGTTGCCAGCGACAGAAATGAAAAGCTATTCGTAAACCAGGAGTTTCCATCGCTGTAAGTTTTTCCTCAACGGTTTCAGTGACGTTATCAGCAGGTTATGCGGGTGCAGCAGAAACTTGAGGAGCAGGGTTCACATCTGTGACTCGCACCGGTGGAGGATTCCTGTCTTCTGCGATGAAGGCTCTTCCGTGCTGCCCTGTGGATGTAGTTACTGTCAGTAGAGAGGCAGGTCTCGCTTCAACCTCCAGCCCATTTTCACTCTGCATAAATACAGAACCGTGGTGGCTATTGACTTCCCCCCACGCCCCCCAGCTCTGGGGAGACTTCTGCTGTAACCCGCTAACAGGTTAGAAATAGTCATTATTCAGCAATTTGCAGTGAAAGAAGAAAGGACTTTTACACTTTCTGGTGTCTTTGGATGTTGAAAAATTGCAAACTCTGGTTATTCTCACCATAAATTCAGCGTGTGCCCTTGTTTCATGCAACACTCGTGTAGTTCCCCTGCATCTAGACAGCCACACAATTTTATTAACGCAGGAGCCTGGCAGTGTGTTGCTCTACTGGTTTTCTTTCTGCAACCTTGCTACCAGACTTTTCTCCCAGAACAGTTGCCTTCTAATTCAGGTCACACTGTACAGTGTGCCGGTGACAATTCTTCATCAAGATTCACAGGGTTGGATGTAAAAGCATTGTGCTCGTCTTGATGGTATCTGGATTTCTGAGATGGGGAGTCATCCGTGGCTTTCCTGGAGAAATCACTTAGTATGGGAACAGCTTAGGTGTCATAAAGTCTTCACCAGAATGACCATTTTAAGTTCATCATCATGTCAAGTCTAGAGGCATCACAGCTTC